CGAAACGCGCGCGCGGCAGACGCGCGAGAGCGGCTCGCATGGTATAATTTGCAACGGATCTTACCACCCCAGCACGCGCGCAAGGGCGTTCGAACGATTTCGACACGCGCGCGCTTGAAGCCCGTTTGGTAGTCTGTTTTGGAAAATGTTGAAAACCATGGTCTTCTTAAGAATTCACAAAAGCTCGCACACACACACACACGCTTTTGTTGAAAATCGGTGCTGCGAAACCTTGTGTGTTATATACATGTTTGGACATTCGATTTTGTGATCCTTCCGAAACCGAGGGTGTTTGAAAGATTTCCGCATGCGCGCGCGCGACGACGCGCGTGCGTGCACTTCGCTTCATTTTTTGAAAAGGGTTTTCGCGACGGCACGCGCGCAAGGGCGTTCGAACGATTATGACATGCGCGCGCGAAGCCCGTTTGGTAGTTGTTTTGGAAAATGCTGAGAAACCAAACTTATGTTTCTCTTAAGAATGCAAAATAGCTCGCAGACACACGGCTTTGTTGAAAATCGGTGTTGCGAAGCCTTGTGTGTTCTATATATGTTTGGGCCCTCGATTTTGAAATCCGTCTGGAACCGAGGGTTTTTGAAGGATTTTCGCATGCGCGCGCGACGACGCGCGCGTGTGCACGTCGTCTCATTTTTGCGCAAGGGTTCGTTGAATGAAAACTTTATGATGTTTGATAAACGAGATCGCGCGCATATTTATGTGTATACATACATACATACATACATACATACATACATACATACATGCGCAAAGGAACCGATGGGGGACCAGTATCGGTTTGGCTGGGATAGCATGAACTCACAGGTAGGATGGGCATTGGGTCAGAACCATGTGCATTTTACATTGGTTCTTGGGGGTTGATAAGTCCGGGGGGGAAGAGTGGCAGAGCCTATATATATATATATATATATAGATATGGAAAGAAAGGAAAGTCCATGTGGCGCATCTGCGTTGTGCAATCAACGTGGCGCGATCTACATGGTGCAGTCTAGGTGGTGCGATCTGTATTGCGCAACCCATATGGTGCAATTCACATGGTGCAATTAAAGGACCTGGAGTTGACAACACCACTGTTCGCGCAAGCATCCCACCCACCCGCAACTTGGTTTGCAAACCCATGCGGCGGCGATTGTGATGAGTGCTTGGCGCTGGCTGGCGCATCTGTGCGACCGCGCTGGACCACGCCGCGCTGGCGCGCGGGCACTTCACTGCGAGTCGATGATTCGGGCGGGCACAATATCATGGCGACGTGGACAACAGCGGCAGCGGCGGTGATTGTAGCGATGATGGTGCTGATGATGACGATGACGATGATGTTGTCCCCGCGTCGGTGATGAAGTTGTTGGACATGCGCGCGCTGCCGACGCGCGTAAGTGGCCCACCGCACTGCATCATATGACAGGAATCAATCGCGCAAGGGCGCCCGAATGATTTTGACATTCGCGCGCGAGGGACCCGCTTGGTCGCAGCTGATGAAAACGTTGAAAACACACCAATGGTGTTCATAAGGTTTCGCAAGAGCGCGCGCGCGCAGATTTTGTGTTAAGTCCTGTTGCAAGCCCATTGCCTTGATATGTTGTCGGGGACCCCGGTCTTGAAATCCTTACGATACCTCCGGTCTTCCAAGAATGTCCAAAGAAGTTCGGCATGCGCGTGCGACGGCGCGCGCGTGTCGACGTTGTCCAGTAGTTGCGTAAGGGAGTTTCGACAATTAGTGACTCGTGATAGACGACTGCACGCGCATATTTTTTGTTGACAAGGACGCTGGGGGATAGCGGCACCCCTTGGGATAATACGAATTGAATAATTCAAATGAGCGAAGGTGCCAGGTCCGATGGAAAGTGTACTTCCCATCGGGAAACGATAAAGTTGGGGGTGGGGCCGATATCGTTGTTTAGAAAAGAAAACCTACGTTGTGCAATATATATATATATATATATAGACGATGGCTTCTATGTTGCGCAATTGGTGTTGATTTCTTTTCGATTGACCAACCCGCATGCCCGTAAAATCATCTCACCCACCTACCCGCAATGTGGTTTGCAAAACCCATGCGGCTGCGATTGCGATGGCTGCTTGGCGTTGGTTGGTGCATCGTTGCGGCCGCGTTAGCCCGCGCATGCTCGTGCGCAGAGCGGCCACATACTTTGGCGCGACAGACGCGACCACAGTGGCGCTGACCGATGGGCACTTCCAAGCGCGTCTCGCAGGCCGCTTTGACGCGCGGGCACTGCAATGCGAGTCGGTGACTTGGGCGGGCGCGGTATCATGGCGACGCCGACAACAGCAAAAACGATGATGATAGTAGTAGCGATGATGGTGGTGATGACGCCGGCGACGATGGCAAAGCCAATGACGGCGCCGATGATGACCACGCCGATGACGATGATGGTGTCTTCGCGTCGGTGGTAAAAGTTTTGAAAGGAATTCGGCATGCGCGCGCGACCGGCCCGCGTTGCATTGTTTGACTGGGATCGTGCCCCCCCCCCCAACCTGCGCGCACGGGCGTTCGAATGATTTTGATACGCGCGCAGAAGAGGCCCGTCTGGTCGAGTATGGTGAAGATGCTGAAACCCCGATAGTTTCTAGATTTCGCGAGGGCGCGCGCGCGTAGATTTTTCGTTCGAGAGCTTAGGTTGCACAGCCATGTGTTTGTTATACGCTTCGGGACACTCGATGGCAAAATCTCCACGACATGTCAGGTTGTCGAAGGATTCCGGGATGCGCGCGCGACGACGCGCGCGTGTGCATTTCGTCCCGTCTGTTACAAGGGATTGTTGACAATTGTGGATGTTTGGTAAACGGGTGCGCGCGCATAGCATTTGTTGCAAAGGGTGGCAAGGAGTGTCGAGATTGACTTGGTTTGGATGCCACGAATTCATATGCAGGATAGTCGACGGGGCAGAATCTTGTTTACATTTCACTACAAAAAGGCGGGCGGATAATCCCAGGGGGTGGTATATCTTAAATATTTGCGACGGGAGAAACTCAGTTGTGCAATTTTCGTTGTGCAATATATGGTTTGCAATACATGGCATGCTATATATGTTGTGTGTATGTGTACATATAGATGAGAATATATTACATAAATGTATGTCTATATATATACATATATATATATGTTTGTACAAATATAGACACACCTATATGCATACATATCTACTACATACACGCACGCATGCATACATACACACACATACACATACCTAGATGTTGCGACGAGGCGGCGACGGGGCGGCGACGGCGGCAACATAGCCGCCAGACCACCAGCCAGGCCCAGAAGACAGGCGGTGACGACGCGGCGACGGGGCAGCGACGGTGGCAACATAGCCGTGGCCGCCAAGCAGCCAGCCAGGCCCAGCCCCGTAGAAGTCAAGAACCCGTGAGCGCATGCACTGTTTGGGTAATAAAGGAATTCCAGATATGATAACATCATACGATAGAACGTTGTCTAGAGTCATAGAGCAAGGGGCCTTCGCACGGTGCCCCGCGGAGGGCCAGTTCTTGGGAGGAGCTCCAGGGCGAGCGCAGCCGCGCGGCGCTGGAGCGGGGGCTGAGCGACCCCCGGGCGGCGGAGGGGGGCAGTCTGGTCCCCAGCTTCGTCGAACAAGAGAGGTCCGCTGTCTGCGCGCACCGGGGCGACCGATCGATACTTATCAGGACGTGTGTTGCCCGAATGTGCGTTCACCCTGTGCAGCTCCACTGATATCACGCAGCCTGGTATCACCGCCTGCGTCGTGTCGAAGGGCCTCGGTGTACAGGCACACATTGCGCTAACCCACATTCTGAGGATCATCGAACCGACTGCGGAAGTCATTGCCACTGCGGACGAGGCGGATGCGTTCGATAGCCAGGACCGCACAGAGCACCATGGCCGCGATGCACAATCGCCAGGCAGTGGCCCTTTCCTGGGGCGGCGCTCCGGGGCACGACCGTCGAGCTCCCGGGGCGCGGCGAGCGCACGCGGCCGTCCTGGCCGCAACATGCCCGGGGGCAGGGCGCTGAGCCCCACCGGCCGCAGCCTGATCTCGTGGCGTGCCGTCCGGCCCCGCAGCAGACCCGCGGGTGCGGCGGCCACCAGTCGAGGTCGGGCTCCTGTCATGGCGCGGCGTGCCCGTGGCCGGCGGCGCCCAGTCAGCACCCGGGCGGGGCCGCGGCTGCCGGCGGCCGCGCCCCAGCGGCTCTCCACCAGCCACGCGCTGGAGGGGGGGGGGCGCTGGGCGACCCCTCCACGGGGCCCAGTGTGTCCATTTCTTGCCACTTCCTGCTTCGCCCATCGACCCCTGCGGCCCCCTGCCGCGCCCCGCCCCCCCGCCCGTGCCCAGCGGCGGCCCGCGCTCGCGAGGTCGCGAGGCCCGGAGGGGCCCAAGGTAGGGCCGCCTCGACGTCGGGCGCCGGCCAGCAGGCCCCCATCCATGCGGGGAGGAGGGGCGGAGCGCACGGGTACGTCCAGTTGTGATGCTTCTGAGCCCGCGCCGCGTGGCCCTGCCGGTCGGGCCGTCCGACCGAGGGAGGACATGCGGAGGAGGAGGAGGAGGAGGAGGAGGAGGAGGAGGAGAAGGAGGAGGAGGAGGAGGAGGGTCATCCCTCCTCCTCCTTTTCCTTCTCGTCCTCCTGGCAACAGCGACGCGAAAGGAGGAGGAGGAGGAGGAGGAGGGATGAGCAAGGGAAGGAGGGACGAGGGAGCGTAGGAGGGACGAGGGAGGAGCGAGGAGGGAGGAGAAGGGAAGAGGAGAGAGGAGAGGGGTGGAGGAAGAGAGGAAGGGAGCAGGAGGAGGAGGAGGATCAGGAGCAGGAGGAGGAGCAGGAGCAGGAGCAGGAGCAGGAGCAGGAGCAGGAGCAGGAGCAGGAGCAGGAGCAGGAGCAGGAGCAGAAGCAGCAGCAGGAGCAGGAGCAGGAGCAGGAGTAGGAGCAGGAGCAGAAGCAGGAGCAGGAGCAGGAGGAGAAAAAGTGGGCTGCCCGTGGGACACTTCGGTCGGCCCAGGTGAACCTCCTTGCGAAGCTCGCCATGCCATGCGAGAAGGGCGCGGCACCAGCGCCATGCAAGCTGGGCGACGAGGCCCTGCGGCTGCTGCAGAAGAAGGCCGTTGGGAGCCAGAATCAGGGAACCGGAAGGCTCGGGCTTGCCAGGGCTCTGGTTTGCCCCCACGTTTGACGGTCCCGGCGTGAATTTTGACGGTTTGGGTCTCACTCTCCCGTGCTTTGTGTTGGCCTGCCCCGTCTTGCAACGTGTCGCCGTTCAGTTGTGTTGCCATTATGCTCGTGATTTGTTCACGTACCGATTTGGCTTGTCTTGCGTTGCAAGTGCCATGCGTTGTCATGTGTTTCCTTCAGCAGCATTGCTTCGGCGCGCCTTGCTTTAACTACTCTAACCTTGCATTCGTTGGCCGCGCCACGCCTTGCAACGCCCAGTCTCTGCTCGCATTGCGTCGAACTGTCGGACCTCGTTTTGTGCCGTGCTCCTTTGCAGTGCGTGGCCTTCTCACATGGCCTCATCTGGATCTGCCGCTTCACACACACACACACACACACACACACACCATGCGCTAGCCTTGATTAGTTGATTTCGCTTGGCCGCGCGTTGCTGCATCGTGTCTGGCGGATCCAGTCGGCCTCCGTCGCTTCCGCCACCAGCCGCAGACCAGGCCGTGCGCGAGCTGTCTTCGGAGAGAAAGGCCCCAGTCCCACAAAGCCGCGCCCTGCGTCAGACATCCCGCCTTGCTCAGTGGTCGTTTTTTATCTCGTTGTTTTGCCGATCGGCGCGGGCCCTCGCACCCCCCCCTCCCCCATGATGGAGTAGATCGTGTCTGTTTTTTGGCGCCTGTTTCAAGCAGGTGGAGTCTCCCCCAGGGACGCAGGATTCCAAACAGTCGCACTAAGCAGATGTCCAGCGCCAGACCCCCCCCTCCCCCCCTTGTCTGCCCAATGTCGAAACGCCGAATAAAAAACGCACTCACTGAACCGTGCACTCACCTTGCAACTTCGTGACTTGCGGCCCCTCTTTTGCGCTCCAGGTCCTTCCCGGTCTTCTTCTTCGTCGTCTTCTTCGTCTTCACCAGCGGAGGCGAAGAAGGGGATTCGCCCACGGGGGGGGGAACATCGACCCATTCATCGCCGACCGCGACCCGAGTGCCCCCATCTTGCCTAGGAGCGATCGTGCGGCTTCGCAATCGGAGGCGTGCCCCCCCCCGATCTGCCGGCGACGTGTCGTCGATTTTCCCGGCCGAAGCTCCCCTCCCTGAGCCAGTGCCCTGTCTATCATCAGGAGGAAAGAAACACACAGACACAATTAATCGTCGATTCCCCCAGAAAGTATGGGAAAATATGGGAAGTGGGGGGGAAGACAAAAACCCAGAAAATATGAGAAAATATGAGGAATTATTTTATTTGTGTGTATTTATTTGTGTGTCCCAGGGCCCCTTCATATCAGCGCGAAGGGGTTGGCCTTCTCAGATTGGGAGGGAGCTTCTAAAAAGCCTTCTTGCCCTCTCGGACTTCTGGGAAGCATCCACGCTGTTGTGAGGAGCCCCCTGCCTTCTGGGAAGGCCGCCCTCCCCCGCCCCGCCCCCATCTACGCGCCGCCAGCTTTCGCCTCCCCGCGTCCCCCCTCGCGGGAGGTGCAACGGGCAAGCGCCGCGATGATGGCTGGCGCCTCGGCTCTGGAAGCCCTGCAGCAGCAGCAGATGCAGACGCAGATGGCGGCGCAGTCGCAGGCGCGACCGGGTCCTCGGGGATTGGCCCCCGCAGACGTCTTTGGGTCCGATCCGGGTCCCGCACACCCCTCCAGTCGGGCCGGACGAAAGGGTAGGACAGGGACACGGGGGTTTACGAAATCTGCTGCATGCAGCTGGTTTCGGCCCCGCCGCCGGGCCCATTCCTCGACACATGGGCGCCAGGAGGTGCCAGAAAAACAAGCTGCATGAGCTAAGTCTCTACCCTGCCCTTGGCTCTCCTACCCTTTCGTCCCCCCAGATCCACTCAGGGAGGGCGCCCATGGGATCTCCAGCCACCCAGAACGTTCCAAAAAGGGCTGCTGCTTCGAGAAGCCGAGGGGTTGACGCATGTCCCTCGGCGCAGGGCGCACGGAAGCTGACCGAAGTGATAGCGAGGGCGGCGTTGACAGCGGAAGTTTGGTGGAGGCCGACGGGAGCAAAGGTTGAAGTTCCGAGAGAGGTCGGCCACGCGCAGAGGAGGGTAGGGGGAGGGGGGAAGGTTTCTTAGAAGCACCCCTGCTTCTTAGAAGGCGCGGGCCTTATCTGTAGATGTAGGGCTGGCGCCTTCTAAGAAACAGCCTCCTTCTGAGAAACCCTCCCCCCTCCACCTACCCACATTTTTGCGCACCGGCAAGAGGGCCAGCGTGCCTGCACTGCCCTTGGAAGGGGGCAGGACAACTCTGGCGCGCGTCCCGTCTCCCCGTCTCCCCTCCATGTCAGTGTCCGCGCGGAGCGCCACTCCGATTTTTCCGCCGTCGTCCGCGGCGGACTCAGAGCATTGACATCGGCGGTCGGGGGGGAGGGGGGGGGGCCAAGTTAGGTGCGCTCGCGTCAACATCTGACATCCTACCCCTCCCTCCCATCCCTTACCATGGCGCTGATTTTCTCTATCCGTGGACGCGTGTCGTAGCGGACCTGTGGCTCCGCGCGCGTGTGCGGGGGCGGAGAAATCGAAAAAGTGGTTGGATTAAGTATTTGTCCAGGGGGGTGCAGGGCCTGGGGCCTGAAGGGCCAGTCGCCTCGGGCAGGAGGGGGGGCACAGCGGCGGCGGCGCAAAAACGCCACCAGGGCGTAAACGTCCAGCGGACGTTTACGCCCTGGTGGCGCAGTTACCGCGGCACGTCGCGGCGTGCTCAATTAGGGTCATCTGTCCCTTGCATCACCTCTAATGAGGGTCATTTTGTCCCTCGCACGTGCACTCGCCTCCGCGGCTTTCGCGCCGCTTTGGCTAATTATCTGCTGCCTGTGCCCCAGCCGTTTATCCCGCTTCTTGACCTCTGTCCTGGAGCCGCCAACCAAAAAAAGTAAACGTCCAGCGGGCCACGACTGGACACTTGCTCGAATTCCCCCCCGTGGTTCACCTCACACGATGCGGAAGATCCCAGTCAGAAGATCGAGGAGGTAGGCTCCGCGAGCAGGTTGACGGACACAATGCTCAGATTGTCCTGGTCCGGTTGTTCGAGAGGCGTGCCCTCAAGAGTGACGGAATGGGAACGTCGAGGCCAGCGGGTGTGCGTACGTTAAGAAAGAGAAAGACAGCCTTTGGGAAGCCTCAGCCGAGACGTCAGCCCGAAGCGTGTTGGATCTGGAGCAACTTTTCCTCGGGGACGTCCAGGAAGTTGGCCCATGTTCTCAAACCACCTGCGCGTGCACGAGGCCACGCGCGGAGGGTGGTTGACCGAGCGTTTGCGTAAGGTTTCGTTTGGATGCCGACAGATGCTATTCGAGATATGGTGGTCTTGATCGCAGCCCCGACTGTAAGCCCCCTTGATTACCCAGCCACTGCCCCTGAATTCTCTTGCCACCCCTGCTCCCCCTCCAGCGACTTCCAGGGGTGTGCTCTGCATCCGTAGCCGTATGTCGAACACAAAAGCAGGATAAACATAATTTGTTGGCGCTCCGCGCTGATTTATTGGATCCGCGCTGGGCCCGCCCAGCGGCGCCTCAGGCGCCGCCCCAGGCGCGCTCCGCGCGCCAGGGAGGGGGGCCCAGCGCAGATCCAAGAAAGCCATGCGGAGCGCCAAAGATTGATGTCTATGCAGCTTTGCCTTCTCCTGAGGTTTGGACCCGAGGGGGGGGTCACCGTCGCCAGCTTGCGCTCGTCACCGTCGTTCAGCATCCTCCCTGGACTTCCCCTCGCTGTGGCACGATCACAGCGGGAGTGGTTGGCCCTTTGCTGCCTCCCCGTAGGTCCGAAGACGATTCGGGAAGCGAAGCCCGTCTTGGGGGAGGAGGAGGCTTTGGACTCGAGGGGGGGTCACTCTCGTTCGGCATCCTCCCGCACCGCGCGGAAGCATCAGCATCTGCCCTCGCGTCCAGCTCGGCTGCCGCCCTGCCCTCGCCCTGCTTCCGCGAGAGTATACCGCGTGCGCACGTGGCGCATGCGAAGCGCCGAGCACGATTAGGCAGGGGCAGAAGCACACAGGCACAACGAATGGTCGATCCCCTAGAAAATATGGGAAGATATGGGAAGGGGGGGAAGACAAAAACCCAGAGGATGTGGTAAAAGGTGGGGAATCCTGTTGTTCGTGTGTATCTATCCGTAAGGGCTTCGCCCCCTGCCGCCGGTCCCCTCTCTATCATAGTGGGATACATCAGAGCTATATTGGGATGTTCGGGCGCCGTCTTGATGACATTCCGGAACGTCAGGCTAGGGCGGCTGGCGATGAGCAAAACAGATTGAGATGTTGAAGTTGTTGTTGAACGCTTTGTTGCCTTCTTGGCATTTTCCTCAAGTTGTTCACTGGAAGCGCTCTGGGAACGGCTGGGGATTGCTTCAGGCAATCTCTGGGAAGGTTATTTTTGTTTTGCTCTGGAGAAGGAGTGGCGCCTTTGGGCAGCTTCCGCGAGGTGGATTCGAAGCGTGGTGGGTGCGCGCGAATTTGGTGAAATTTGCAGGGGATCGTGGCCTCGGGGGCGCGAACGTTGCATAATTTACGAGGGATCGTGGCCTGGGGGGCGCGACAGCGGCGTAATTTACCAGAGATCATTGCCTCGGTGGCGCGAATGTAGTGTAATTCACGCGGGATCGTGGCCTCGGGGGCGCAAATGTGGCGTAACTTACGAGGGATCGTGGCCTGGGGGGGAAATGTGGAACCCACCGCCGAATTTTCCAGAAACGGGGGGGGGGGCAAAAGAATACCAGCGGAGCACATATCCCAAAACAGAAAATTGCCGTTTTTCTGCTTTGGAGAGGGGGAGCGCCTTTTCGGCAGCCTCCGCAGGCGGATTCGTGGCCTCGGGGCGCGCCCGCTGCGTAATTTATTAGGGATCGTGGCGTCAGGGGCGCGAATTTGTTATCATCTACGGGGGGATCGTGGCCTCGGGGGCGCCAAAATGATTCAAATTACATGGGATCGTGGCTTCGGGGACGCGAATGCAGCGTAAATTACTAGGGATCGTGGCCTCGAGGGCGCGAATGCGGAGTAATTTACGGGGGGTCGTGGCCTCGGAGACGCGAATGTGGTGCAAATTACAAAGGATCGTGGCCTCGGAGACGCGAATGCAAAGTAATTTACGAAGGGATCGTGGCCTCGGGGGCGCGAATACAGTGTAATGTGCGAGGGATTCTGGCTTCGGGGGCACGAAACTCCCGTATTTTTACGTGTCCCACGCCCCCCCAGAAATTCTGAGAATTTTCCCGGGGGACGCTAACCAGGGCCCTTTTCGGCTCCCCCCCCTCGCGCGGACAGTCACAATTTACAGTAGGAAGCAGAAAGCAGCACTGTAATAATGGAAACTGGAACTGGTGCAGGGAGCAGCAACCTTAATCCTCGCAGCCTGATGGCCCCACAAGGGGGCCCGCGGATTTGTGTGTGCGTGTGTGTGTCCCAGGGCCCCCTTCGCAGAGGATGGGCGCTGGGGGCTACTGCGGGTCCTTCGAACAAAAACACTTGCACAAGCATAAACTGTCGGCGGTCCGCGCGGATTTCTTGGATCTGCGCTGGGGCCCCCCTGACGGCGCCTCCGGCGCCGTCCCTGGCGCGCTCCGCGCGCCAGACGCTTCAAGAAGCAGTTGGCAGCCGGATCCGCAGTGGCATGTATGATCACGTGGAGTGGCCAGGATAATCCCATTGACGATTTCAAGCCCCCAGATGGCATGTACGGACAAGTTGAGCCGGTCATTGGCCTCCAGTCCAACCACCCATGAAACGACACAACGTTGTATCCAGAGGACGTTGTTCTTCACTACACCGACGCAGGCTTGAACACTGTTCACCGAACTCTCAGCAGTATAGGGGGAAGGTGGCCTGGCTCACCTGACCGCGCGAATTGCTGCGTACACGCGTATTGCATGTCCACCTACGGGTTTGGTTGGGCGGTGAAGGGTTTTGTGGACGACAAACATTGCATTCAAGCATCTCTGGGCACCCAGCCCAACGCCAGCGAGCCCGGCACATGTTCAGGCTCATCGCTCAGGCTTCTGAAAGGCACCTTGACGGTGACAAAAATTATTGTGGGATCAACATACAGAATCTACCGCTGGGATTCGGTGGATGATGCTCTTACCTACACCGACAACGTCAAGAAGATGTCGTTCCGGGCCACGACTGACAGATTTGCCTACTCCAACGACAACATCTTCGAGAGCGACGACACGATTTATTACAGGTGCGCGTCATCTGCAGAGCGAGAGATTTTGGTATATTTTGCACCGCCGAGTCTGCCAGAATGGGGGGGAGCTTCGACACGCTCCCGGTAAAAAGTTGTCTCGACACGTTCTTGTTTCTCCGACTCCTCCGTCCGTCCGTCCCCAATTGTCCAGTTCGACGAGGGACGTTGACAAGGGCGTTCCCACTCATTCCTATCCTACCCCTCGTCCCTCTCCCTTCTCCATGGTGATGCTGAGGAGGCGGCAGCTTGCCCTGCGAGAATGAGACCGGAGCTGGCCTCTGGCTGCGTCTCCTGCCCCTTATTCCTCCAACTCCTCCGCAGAGCCGCTCTTTGGCTACGTCTACTGATCGCCCCGCCTCGTGCCTATCATCCTACTCGAGGAGCAGGACGTCATCCGCCTCCTCGTTACTATTTTCCTCCTGCTCCCCGTTCCTCTTTCTCCTCCCCCCGTCCTCCCCGATCCCCCTCCTCCTGCTCTCCTCCCCCCCCTCGTCCCCTCCCTCCCCCCCTCTCCTCCCCCTTCTCCTTGCCCTCCTCCGCATCCTTTCCAGATAATGGGGAAGTCTAGGGCGGGATCAAACGAACCGCAAGACAAATTTTCCCCACGCATGCGATGCAGCCGACGTTGAAGAAACATACGTCGCGTTTTTCTCCCCTGCTTCCACCCGGCTCACCGTCGCTGGCAGGGCGGGCGGGCTGCTCGGAGGCGGCCGGAACTCGTGCGCTCGCTCCGCCTCGAATCTGCAAGAGGCGAATCACAGGACGGATTGGTTCTCGGAGGTGCGAGGGCCCACGTGGATGTCACCCCGAGCCCTCCACCCGAAGAGAAGGTGCTCAGGGGAGGAAGGAGCCGAGAGGCCGCCAGAGCGCCCGCCCCCCGCCGCGCAGGCGGCGCCGCAGCCAGCCATAGCAGGCCGTGGCACCTCCGTGCCGCCCCGATATGCCCCCCCATCCCCCCCCCCCAGAGGAAGGAGGGGGGAGGAGGAGACGAGGAAGGAGGGGAGGGGAAGGAGGGGAGGAGGGGGGGGAGGGAGAGGAGGGAGGGGAGGAGGGAGGGGAGGGGAGGAGGAGACGAGGAAGGAAGGAAGGAAGGAAGGAAGGAAGGAAGGAAGGAAGGCACCGGCAGGAGGCCTCGAATCCAGTCAAGAGCCGTGCTGTCGCCGCCTCTGCGCGGGAGCGGGTCGTCCCCCGCGGACCCGCCCTCGGGGGGAGGGCGCTTCCGCTGAACGCTCAAGTCCAATTCAGCGAACGACGAGCCTGGATGGATGACAAGGAAGGCGACGAGGAGACGAGGGGGGGGCAAAGGGAGAGCAGACGGGGAGGAGGGGGCAGGAGGGGGAGGGGGGGAGGGGGAGATGGTAAGATGGGTGCGCTCGCGTCATGTCTGACGTCCTACCCGTCCCTCCCATCCCTCACCATGGCGTAGATCTCCTCTCTATTCGCACAGTCGGATGTCGTAGCAGGGCGTAGCTTTACATGGCATAGCATGGTGTTGAAGATCAACGCGTAGCCTGACATAGAATGGCATGGCGACGCCCCCTGAAGTGGGGGGCGCTTCTGCGGCCCCAAAAATCAACGAATCGACACCGAATGCGTCATCACTTCCGATGGTTGTTTCGGGAGGGAGGGGGGGGCATTTTCTAGATTTGGGGGCCTATTTGGAAGGACCGAAAACCATGCCGTGGCATGGCGCTGGAAATAATGACGCCACCGCTGCAGCGGGAGCACGATTCGGAACGAGCGGAAGCGCGGGAATGAGGCCAGCGCTGCAGCGGGAGCACGATTCGGAATGAGCGGAGGCGCAGAAATGAAGCCAGCGCTGCAGCGAGGGCACGATTCGGAACGAGCGGAAGCCCGAAAATAAGGCCAGCGCACCAGCGGGAGCAGCATTTATACATAATACGAATAAGAATAATAAGACTACTAGTAATGAGAATGATGAGAATCATACTAATGGTGATGATACGAATAGTAATAAGCATAAGAATAATGAAAATACACGACTACGAACGATGATAATAAATATGATGATAATCAGAATGATGATTTTCATAACAATGATAATACTTTTATGTATAGTATATCTATACATAAACTCGCCGACATCCTGTGTGGAAAAACTATACGTGAGGGGGGGCCGAACACTCCGAGACAGATTTCGCCACAGACTCAGGGGAGAGAGGAGAGTAGTATTCATATTGAGTAATTGCGGAGGAGGAAGGCGAGGAGAGAAATGGGGATGAGGAGGATGTGGAGGGGGAAGGGGGAGGAGAAGGAGGAGGAGGAGGAGGAGGAGGAGGAGGGGGAGGAGGAAAGGAGGAGGTAGAGAAGCACAAGTTATGGGCCGACAGGAGACTCGAGTTCTGGATGGGCCTTTGATTCCTCGTTTGAAAGCTGACTGACGAGGGAGAGATTAAGAGGAAGCATAAGAAGAATAGAAAGAAGACAACAAAACAAGCATAGAAGACATGCCCTTCTTGCATCCCCCCTCCCTCCCGCCCTCCACCCTCCTGGCTCGATTCCGCCTCCTCCAAAGCGCGAAGACAAAAAGACGTGGGAGGATTCTCGCGATTCCGGTATCAAGGACGCGATTCTTGGCCTCGGGATCTTTTCAAAAAGATGCCTGGGACGCAAAACTGTTCCCTGAGCTGGCAGCGCGGAAGAAGTACCCCAGATGCGGATGTAGATGTTGTGACGATGATGCCGTTGTGCATGTTGTGTTTGCCACCACTGGACAGGCTGCGCCAGAGGCGAGAAGTGGTTTTCCAGACTGTGGCTTGCGGGGTTGAGTTGACCTGAGGTGCCCCTCGGGACCTGCCCGCCATTGTCTCAGGCACATAGGCGCCAAAATTCTAGCCGGGTGTATCTAGATAGACGCCTGAAGTGGGTCTGAGGGCACATCATGTAATCTGCGTCTGCGTTAGATCCGTGTTTCGTTCACGCAGGTTCTCAAGATCTCCGGCGATCTCCGGAATGTTTGTTGAGCGTCTCGGGGGCCCACGGGCTACATGATGCTAATATGCCGCTTGTGTGTGCGTATCGGAGTGTATGAATGTGCTAATGCGTGTGTGTGTGTGTGCACATGCATACATGCTCGCGCTCTTTGTTGAAGCGTGCATCCATCGATGGGTAAACGTGCGCCTGGATTCAGTCCAATGTAAGGTTCGCTGACAGTGTCAGAATGGCCGCAGGTGCGCAGATGCAAGCATTAGAACGCGCTACAGCGCAAACGCCACAATAAGAGTGCATTGCTCCGTGGCATGTGTTGTTCAAGGTTAGGACCGCCCGAGCTCTCTTCTCGCGCGCCGCGGAGCGCCTCCATCGTCCACTCCACTCCTCGGCTGCCCAGATGGGCTGCGGCGGGTCCAAGGCTTCCGCTTGCGAGGCGCTTGAGGTCGTACCTGCCGTTGGGGCCACCGATGGCACAGCGGACGATCGCAAGGCACATTGCATTGTGAGCTCGACCGAAGAGAGCAGCTGCGCGGAGGAGGTTCTAGCAGAGGGCGGCATTGCCAATTCGAACGAGAGCACCGCATACAGCGAAAACTCGAACGATACAGCCACTCCGCGCGAGCTGACCGTGGACAGCCACGGGGACGAAGGCGCTGCAGAAGTGGCCAGCGCGGTGATTGCCGAGGCTGCCAGCTTGCTCCAGCAGCACCAGGTGCTCAATGCGGAAGAGGTGCTTGCCCGAGCGCTCGCGCGCCTCGACGAGGCCAGTTCTGGGGATGCTGCCGCGGCAGAGGCGGCGAGTGTCTTGCGCACCAGCGAGACCTACGCGGCTGTCTACGCGCTCTGCCGGCGGTTCGACGAGGTCGCCGACATGCTGGGGGCACCAAGCGGGCGCCAGAAGCTGATGTGGGAGGACGAGGGAGCCCAGCTCTGGCTGCATACTCCCGCCGACGAGACGTGGCTCGAGTTCAGGCTGGTTTGCGACATCGATGCGCCGCTTTCGCACTGCCTCGCGTCTGGCACCGAGGTGGACCTCATTCCAGAGTACGAGCCAAATGTAGTGGGCACCCCAGCTTGTCTTGGACAGCCCAACGCTTGGGTCTCACTCGTCCGGGTGGTCATAGGGGTGTTGATGTTGCGTTTGGAGCTCATTTACGAGATCTGCCGTTTTTACAACACCGAGCAAGGCTTTCTGGCCGAGAGTATCCGCTCAGATTTCCCCGAGGAGGGCCGATCGGTGCCTCCGAGGCATTGGCGGTACAAGCGAATGAAGATCAGGACGTCGAGCTTGTGGATACCGCAGGGCGGCGGGAAGAGGGGCACCACAGCTGTGCAGTCCTCCCGGGTCGACGCGGGCTTCAAGCTCCCTGATTTCATCGTGGAGTTCTTCTTCCGAAAATTGGCCCCGTCCATGATTGGCAACCTACGCAAGAACGCCATGTCCGTGGGGAAACTGGACGGCCCGTACGCCAAGCGGTTGGCCGAGGACAGCCAAGGCGTGTACGCAGAGTGCGCGAGAGTCGAGGAGGCGGCCTCTCACCGGCAGAGCTGCAGTGCCGGCACCCTCCCGGGCCAAGAGTGGTTCCGCCGGCCGTGGCGCTTGGCCGCTCCTCCGGCACCCTGACGCGGGCCACCGCACGCCGCGCAGCAGGCGCTTTGGTCGGGGGGGGGGATGGGCGCAGTGGGGGGAGCCGTTCTGCCCCCCCTCGCCGAGTCCTCGCCGATGAGGTCCTGGGCTCCCACTCCGCCCCGGAGCGGTCGATGCGGCGATCGGGGGCAGCAATGGCTTCCCCTCCTGAGCCAATCCCCCCCTTTTGGCTCCCCTCGCCCTTCCCGCCCTCCCCCCCATCGCGCAGCCCTTTCTGTCGTCTCTCTTTCGGTTTCCCGAAGCCCTGCGAATTCGATCGGACTCGGATCGCGTGCCTCAAGATGGGCTTGGCTACAGCATGACCAGGCTGTGCAGCGAGTGCTGCAAAGCTTGCCGTTTCACTGCAAGCCCCGTTACAGGCTAGATGGGCCATTACAGCCAGTACCATTTCAGCCCTCACGAACAGAGCCCCCTATCGTGGCCATCAGTTACCGCGCCCCTTGCCACCATGACCGCTCTTGGCAGGCCACTAGACAGCCCTTCAAGCCGGCATGAGGCATACGCAGACCTGCCACGAGCGCAGTGGTTTGATATTTGTTTTATGCACGCAAGTTGCGCGGTCACGTTTCGAAGTCACGGGCTGTGTTGTTTGTGCGCGTCTTGATCGATGCGCACGCAGCCTCAAGGATATTACTTCCGCAGGCCGAAAGATTCCCTCTTGAGTTCGACAGGCCACGCGGGAGCCCGCTGTGATTGCCAAGCTTATCATTGTTGTGGAGGATTTGAGTGGACTTGCGCCCGCTGTGATGCTCGAGCTACCCAATGTTATGGGAGGGGTGATGGGAGTGGGCGGGGCCCGCAATCACAATCGAGCCTTCCAGTGCTTTCATTGTTATGAGGGTTGTGGGGGTGGGCGAGAGCCCGCAGTGACGCTCGAGCTGGCGTTGATGATGGTAATGATGATGACGATGATGATGATGATGATGATGATGAGGAGGAGGAGGAGGAGAAGGATGAGGAAACACCATCTCCGTATAATCATAACATTACGCTTCACGTGCAATGCACCGTGGATCACATGTCCCCTGGGTTCAGGAATGTATTATTGTGTATGTTTATCCGTAAGGGCTTTGCCCCCTGCCGCCGACTTCCTCTCTCCCATAATTTGATATATCAGAGTCGCGCCGGTGTGTCTCGGCGCTGCCTTGGCGCATCTGGGAACATAATGCGGGGGCGTATAGGAACCATCAGCGCATATTGAGACGTTGGCGTTATCGAAGACGCCTACGGCGAATCACCGCCGCCCCCTGCCCTTATGGAAGCGCCTATGTGGCTGACAGCTGGGCTAGAGCCTGGCCAAGCTAGCGGGGCAG